GCAAATTCAGTGAATATAAGGTCAGAGGTCAATTGCAGCATTTCCATTCATTTTTAGGCAGATGTTTCATTAGAGCAAATGGAAACATACATGTTCTAATTAATTTGAAACAGAAAGCAACTCTCTATGACCAGCGGTTGCCAAGATATGGGATTCCTATGTTTTTTTTTTTATTAATTTGCATAATTAAGAGCTAATTTGCATATGAAGAGTATACGTGACCGTGATGTGATTATAGATTTCCATCCCTTCTACTAATATGACGCAAAGAAACATGCATTTGAATGATTTGAGACCTAAAGTAAGTTTCTATGTTCATTAGCCAGATGCAAATTCAGTGAATATAGGGTCAAAGGTCAATTGTAGCATTTCTGTTCATTTTTTAGGCAAATGTTCCATTAGAGTAAATAGAAACATGCATGTTTTGATTAATTTGAAACAGAAAGCAACTCTATGCGACCAGCGGTTGCCAAGATATAAGAGCACTATATTTTTCACCATATTTGCATATTTTAGTTAATTTGCATGTAAGTTACCGAGGTGTGACCGAGGTGTGATTTCTGGAATTTCATCCCCTCATTATATGTATTTGATTAAAAAAAGAAAAACCTTTGTTTGCAATTTGTTTAAACTTCAAATGCTGGATTGCCTAGCCTGTATGTATATTGATGATGTTCAGGGTCCAAGCTTTTTATAATTATTAATTAATGGCGTAAAGAATTTTCTATTTGATAAAGTAAACAATAACTCTAGAGTAATAGAATATTCATGAAAATAAATAAGAAGCGATTAATTACCAGCCAGCTTTCATCGATAAACGGTCAGCTTCATTTACAATTCTCGTGGGAAAAACATTAATTATACTGAACGTTTAATAATTTTTATTTCTTTATTTTTGTAAAGAATTTAATATTTAATACATTGTAAACATAAAATCTAGACTAGTAAAGGTCATGAAAATATTCATAAAAAAAAAATCAGAAGCGATTTTACCAGATTTCATCGATGAACTGTCGGCTTTATTTTTGCAATCCTCGTGGAGAAAGCACATGAATGATACTAGATGAATGCATACGTTTAATAATTTTTTTAATTTATTTTATTTTGTTTTATTATTTTTTACCTAGTTATTCTGGGCCCCTGCAAGGCCCGGGCCCCGGTGTACTTTCCTCGGTTTCCCCGGCCTCTCGGTGCCATTGGTCGTAGCTCCCCAGAAGCCCAGCCACAACTTTAAATTTTCAGATTGAACAAACTTAAACTACGCAATTACTCACACTCGTACGAGACCTCCAGATACTTGAATGTTCCATAACAGGGGTCACCAAAAACACTGTTACTAGCCTGGACTCTACATGACGACTTCCCATCGCAGAGCTGGTTGACCTTAGATATTGATGATTGCGCAATGCACGTCGAGTCACATGTTTTGGACGAGGACCAACAGCGCTGGCTATAGGACACAGAACGTCCGTAGCTGGAGCACAGAATGTTAATCTTGTGGTTGCCACAGTCGATGGTTAAGGTTTTATGCTCACATACGTGTCTAGTTATGGCCGCATCTGTAAATCAAAACATAATCGATCGATCAATCATATAAAATAATACCTTTCATTTTAAGTATTTAAAAGACAAGACCTCATAATAACGAGAAAAAACTATAAAAACTTTAAGTCGTGTTGTGGTAATGCTTCTTACATTAGTGTAACAATAAAGGAGAGGGATCTGCTTGTTCAAATGTTAGTGCATCTAAAATAACGATGTTCAACACCGCGTATACAAAGTGATACGGTACTGAATGAGAACAGCGAAAAGAGAAACACAAAAGAAATATATCGTTCTGATTTTCCAAATACAGTACTATACTGAAGTCAGTGAAAGAAATACATCAGGCCTGCAACAAATTGTGTTAGGTATATTACAAAATGAAGATGGATTTGTTTACTCACTGCTGCACACGAGAAAAGCTGCTATGAGGCAGACTGCGAGAATGATCTTCATGTTTGATGTAGTCTAGGC